CCTAGGCAAGCGTCTCCCTCCCACTGACGGCGGAATGGCGGGGGGGGGGCTTTGGAGCCCCCCAAAATTATTGGGGGGAAGCTGGAGGGATGTGAATCCAGCAGGGCCCGGACAGATCCCTCCCATCCCCCCCCAGTTAAAATGTGTTCTGAAGACTCTGGCATGCCCCCCCCCGGCCATGCTCCCCTCTCAGCAGGCGCCCATGGAGCCGAGCATCCAGCCAGCAAGGTGCTGTGGCCCTTTATACAAGAGGGTGTTAAACGGGAGTCAATGCTGCCCCTTGAAGTGCTCCCCCCAGCGCTTCCATTGTGCATGGGGTCTCTGCTGCTTGTGGGGTGTGAAGCAGCTGCTGGCTCCCACCCCAGAAGCAGCTGCATCTCCGCTCTAGGGGAGGGAACCCTGTTTAAGCATCCCCAGGTCACGGCCCAGCCCCAATCCCTCAGTAGACAGGGATGCCTCACCCACTAAACAGCTGCTGTGCCCCAGCCCAGAGGCAGCTGCATCTCCACGCTGGGGGAAGCATCCCTGTCTAAACAGTCGCTGCCCCCCCGCCCTGCTGCTGCATTGTGGTTCTCGGTGAAGGATCCCTGAATAAACAGCCGGCACCGTCCACGCCCCTCCTCCCCCAGGCAGCTGCGTTTCAGCATCAGGGAGATCCTTGTCTATCCTCATCCCAGCTCTTCCGCAATACAGGCGCCTTGGGGGACTGCCACCTGCAGGGACGGCCCCGATGGGGCAGGCAGGTGGCTGAGTTGAGCTGTCATAGCCCGGGGCCCCTTCCGGTCTGGGCTCTCCTGCGTGGAAGAGATAACACAGCAGGATTTTCCGGGCAGCCGAGAGGCTGCAGTTTCTAGCCAGGTAGAGCAGATCTCTCTGGGCGTGGGAGCTGGGCTTGGGTGGGTTTCTTGGCCAGCCTGAGGTTCATTTCCTACCCACCTGGGAGCTGGAAGTATCCCAGGCCCCCCAGCCTGGGTCCATCCACATTAGTCCCTTCAAGGTGCTGCCTCCTGTTGTGCTCAGGCCCCTTTAGAGTGTGCAGAGGCAGTGGAAAATGCCCCCACTAGAATCACCCCCTGTGGATAAGGGCGCTGGGGGAAGGATCCTTGGAGAAGCAGCTCCCATGTCTCGCCCCAGAAGTGGCTGCATCTTGCTGCTGTGTGAGGAACTCTGCCGTGCCCCTCCCTTCAGTGTCAGAAGTGCCTCTTGGGGTGGGGAGGTGCATCTGCTTCTGGGGTGGTGCCCTAGGGCTGTTCGAACAGGGATTCCTTGCCCAGGAGATGCAGCTGCCTCTGGGGTGGGGCATGTGGGACTCCTCGCCCAGTGCTGGAACAGCTGTCTGCTCTCCAGCTCAACCCTGCCCTGGTGCAGCACAGTGGGGCTCTCAATCTCTGCTGGGGGAGAAGGGTGGGTCAGGGGTGGGGGGAGATGGGCCTCTGTTTTCCAGGGGAGTGGGAAACAGGAGCATGTGGAGGTCTTGCAGAGGGTTACAGAGCCTGCCCCATGCATAAGGGGTGGCATTATGGGGCACTGGACCGAGGCGCAGCTGAGACCTGGTAGATGAACGGGTCGCCCGTAAGAGGTGGCGCCTAGGGCTAAGATCAGCCACGCAGGGGCATCGGCGTGTCCCAGCAGCTGGGCCCTTGCGCTGCCTGGGCGCGCTCCGGCTGTGAATGCCAGGTCTCCCGGAGCTGCCAGGGAGCGGCCCCTCTCCGAGCCTTCAGTAAACACGCCCTCGGCTTTGCCAGTCAACGTGTACAAAGCGCCAGATCCCAGCTGGCGGAGAGGGCCTGGCTGCGCTGGCTCCAGCGGGGAGCCTGGCCTGGAGCTTCACCCTGCTGTGAGACCGGGCGTGGGGATAGGAACCGTGCAGCGCTCTCAGGGCATAGTGCTTCCCTCTTCCCCCATCCCCTTGCTCTTATTCTTGCACCCGAGTCTCCGCCGGGCAGGGCAGAGAGCCCAGGCAGTGAGTCAGGCCTGGGCGTCCAGGCTGCTACGGATCCAGCCCCGGTTAGTCACTCTGCTTAGCTTTGCTCTGGTCGGCGGCGCACGGTTCTTGGCGCGCACGTGCCCTGTCTGTGCCTTGCTGCAGCATGGCTGCGTGCCAGCTCCCAGCCGTGCCACTCTGCCAGTCGCTGTGCTAGACCCTAGCAAAGCCATGCAGTGCTACGCACCCACCTAGCAGACACCCTGCCATGGGCTGCTCTATGCCACCGCCCGACTGCCCTACCCATCCATCCGATACCCTTCCTCAGTGGTTCCCAGTCTGTAGCCTGCAGGACCCCGGTAGTCCGTGACGGTCCTGCAGGGGGTCTGTTGAAAGTTTAAAAATAAGGATCGGGCCTATCACAGTGGGCCAGATGCTTAGTTTGCTTTCCTTCTCCTTTTCTTTTTTCTCCCCTAGGGAGGGTGGGGGAGGTCTGTGAAATTTTAATAGATGGAAAAGAGGTCTGTATGCTCAAAAAGGTTGGGAACTATTGGATTAATTCATCACTCTGGATGGAAAAAGCTCAGTGAGTCCCAGTGACTCTATGAGCTTAGGGTTTCCCCTGCCTCAGTTTCCCCCAGCAGCACTGCCTCCATGCGCAGCAGGACGGAAGCAGCCGTGCCATGCTGCCCAACTAACATGGAGTCAGGCTCTTTAAACAGCTGTGATTGGCCACGCAACCCACCAAACTCTTGCTGCCAATCTCCCTCCTCCCAACGACGTCGTGGCATGCAAATTTAGCGGAAGAAGGGCAGGGATTGGTTAAGCTATCCTCTGATGTCACAACGGCCCTGTTATGATCAGAGTTATGAGTTGCAACGATTGTTAACAACTTTGCTTCCTGGGACAGGGGGTTTGAGGCAGTTGCGTTATCCAGGGCTCCCAAAGGATAAAGAGCCTGGCTCAGCCTCTTACAGGACCCAGTTTTCGATTAACTCTCGTTCCTAAATGAATTAGCCGGTTTCCTTGTGAATTCTCGGGCTGTGTGCTCTGCCCTGTGAGAGGGAGGGCTGTACGTCTGGGGAGGATACGCTGGATGTTTTCGTATCTGGCCAAGAGCTTGGTTTTAATGCTGATGTCACAGCCAGTATTTCTGGAGGATGACAATCGTGTAGTAGATCCTGAGATCTGGGCCCATATTGTGCTGACACGTTATTGCGCACCCGTATTATTAGAGACCGCCCCTGTCCCGCGAAGCCAGCGCAGAAAAACAGGTGCTGTGGTGGGAGCCGTGAGCTTAGCTCTGTTTTGTGGGACTCCAGCTCTCCTCCACCAGCTGGGTAACCCTCTTAGTGAGCGGAGTGGTGCATCATGGGAGCCCCTGGCCCTGGTGCATCATGGGTGATGTAGTCCCACGGACAGCAAGAGCCAGCAGGTAGAATGGGGCCATCGGATAGAATGGGGCATTACAACTCCCAGTCCCTGTGATGGCAGCTGCAAACATAAATAGTTTGTGTTTGGGGCATTCTGGTTTGTTATTGAAAAAATCCAATGTCCAAACCCCCCCCATTTTCCCTCAGAAAACAGCTTAATAGTCAATACAGGTGGTAATAGTCAACCAGACATAGATCCTGACCTAAATCAGCACCCCGATGGAGATTGGAGGGCCCCTTCACGCTGGATGCTGCCTGCACCCTGGCAGAGAGAACCCCCTTTGTGCTGGGCGCCTCATAGACACTTGGCCAGACAGTCTTGTCCCAAAGAGTTCGCTGTCTAAACAAGGAAAGCACGAGAGGGGGAAACTGAGGCACGAAATGGGGACATGCCTCACCCCAGGGCCCTGGCAGAGCAGGGACTACAGCCCAGCTGCCTTGAGCCCTAGCCTGGTGTCCTCTCCATGGCCCCATCTAACAGCTCTAGAGGGGCAGAGCTCAGCTGTCAGCACAAGTTGGAGAACCAGAGCGGTTACTTCACTTGGCTGGTCCTCAGCGGCAGCCATGCAAACCGGTCGGGCAGGTTGGGCGGGAGGCCCTGGCACAGCAGTGGCTGCTCTGACCTGCGGGGGCGGGGAGCGTGACTCACGGGGCCTTGGTGAGAGCCGCTAGGAAGTCAGTCTTGCTGGCTCCTGCCCGGCGGCGTTTAACCCTGTCTGCCCGCTCTGCGGGGGAAGGGGGCATTTCGTTTCCATGTGTTCGTGGCCTCAGTCCCCCCCGCTTTGGGGCCAGCCAGCCAGACCACACAGGCTGCCCCAGTGCAGGAACCGGTTCTAGCACTCAGAAGGCAGGATAGGGCTGCCCGGAAGGGGTGCGGTGGGTTCCAGTGTGGCCTAGGGGATGGGGGCGGAGGGAGGCGGGATGAGTCCTGGAGCCCTGCACGGAGATGGAAGGGCTGCTGAAGGATTGGGCCCTTCAGCTCATGCTGGGGGCCCTCCATGCTGACTCTGACTGGGAGTGGGCCCCCCCCGATGCACGCTGATTTCTTAGAGACTGCCCCAGTTCCACCAAGCTAAATTCACTCGTGTGGTGTGATGTGGTGTGGTGGGAGCTGTATGGCGGGACTACAGTTCCCATGAACCAACTAGGTAACCCGCCTAGGGAGTGGAGGTGGTACATTATGAAATTGTTAGCATTCTGATTTGTGATGGGGAGAAAAGGGGTTTTTCTGCAGGAAGCAGGTACGTTTCTGGAAAAATGTCATTTAGTCGAAAAACCCAATTCCGCCTCAAAAAACTGCTTGGGTGGGGGAAGGGGAACCCGATCCCCTAGGCCACACTGGAACCTGGCCTCCCCACTTATGCCAGCTCTGAACATAGCCAGCAAGCCGCAAAGGAAGATTTGATCCCAGATCTCCTGCAGCCCAATCGCTGCACCCCACGCCTGCCTGGGGAGGGTGTTCATCCTTCTCCCTTTAGGTAAACAGGTTTCGCTTTGGTTTGACCGCAGGTGAGAGGCCAAAGCCACAGTTCCTGCCCCTTCCCAGTTAGCAAACAGCTGTGTTTGAGCTGAGAAATCCTCCCCCACACAGCGCGCCCCGCCCGAATGTGGCACCTCCTAGCCCCAGGAGCAGAACAATCCCGCCAGGCCTGGAGGAGAAGGGCAGGCAGGGAGCAACAGGAAACAGGCAATTAGCACATCCCTGAGCAGCGGGCTGACTTCTCCCGCTTGGTCTAAGTCAGAGCTCTGAGGAGGTTGCTGTACAGACCCTGAAGGTGCTAATTACCCTGCTCTGTCTTTGTAGAGCATCTGAGACACTGGGACTCCTGGGCACGTCCCTAACAACGTACAGCGCCTGGCACCAGGAGGGCGGGGAGGCCTGGCCCATGACTGGGCCTCCTGGGTTCTCTTGGGAATGACTTGAGACTGAGAAGGGAAACTGAGGCACAGGGAAGTGACTTGCCCAAGGTCATTCAGCGAATTGGAGCTGGGATTTAGAGCCCAGGGGTGGCTAGTTGTTAGGTGGCTTACGGTAGTGGCGAGGGGACCTGGCACAGCTCTGGGCGTACGCAGAAGAGAGGCTGGTTCGAAGCTCCGGTGATGATTTGCACGTTAACTTCCAGGCTGGGGATCCCTGATGATCGGCTGTTCCCAGAAAGGGCTGTGAGGAGGAGGAAGAACTTTGATTGAATCCCGTAGGGAGCCTCTTCTTCCTCCCCCCCAAAAAACCCCCCCCCACACCTGTTATCGGGTTATAGCCTCACTTCTGGAGACCTCAGCGTGCTGCGTGTCCTAGCTCCCCGGGTGGGGGGAATTTCTCTCTGTGCTTTTCTTAGCCTTGTCACTGGCTGGCAGATGGTATTTGCCTTTCTTGGGGGGAGAAGGGGGGAAAGCAAGTCAGTGTGGCTTGTTCAAAGTTAGTCAAGTCCCTAGCAAAGCTGGGAACGAGACCCAGGAGTTCTGACTCCCATCACGATCCCCTGCTTTAACTACTAGCCAGCACTCCCCTCTCAGAGTTGGAGATAGAACCCACGAGTCCTGCCTTCCCCCACCTCTCACCGTTAGACTCCTCCCAAAGCTGGAAGAGAATCCAGAAGTCCTATCCTCCAACTCCCCCCAAATCTAACTGCTAGGCTCCACTCCCCACCCGGAACTGGCAGTGGAACCGTGTCCTGACAGGCCCTCCTGAGGCTCACGCCCCCTTTTCCTCCCACCCCCACCCAGATGGCCTCTGCCAACGACACCCGGCAGGCCCAGAAAGATGCCGCCGACCAGAACTTCGACTACATGTTCAAGCTGCTGATCATCGGGAACAGCAGCGTGGGGAAGACGTCCTTCCTGTTCCGCTACGCGGACGACTCCTTCACCTCGGCCTTCGTCAGCACCGTGGGCATCGACTTCAAGGTCAAGACGGTCTATCGGAACGAGAAGAGGGTCAAGCTGCAGATCTGGGTGAGAGCAGGCGGGGGCG